TACACATATAATCCAGATGAAGCTTTCACATGTCAAAAGCAAGATCAAGTGGTTTTTCAATTCATGTGTTGATTTTTTAAAAATTAAAATAATTATCCAATCATGGACTTGATCAGAGTTCTTGTATTGAATAATGATCAGCAATAATTGGAAATAATTCTATAAAAAAGCTAATACCTTAATATTCAATAAATATGTCAATGAAATTTTGTAATTGAGGTTACAACTGAGTTGCATAAAGTTTTTGGCCTTAAAAAAAAAAGAAGTTACAACTGGAGCTCAAATTGAATATAGATCAAATTTAAAATTTCAAGGTACAAACGAAATGGTGAACTGTAATGCACAGTGTTAAAACAAAGTTGGCTCAGATGATTAAATTTGAGATTTGGTTGAAGAAAAAGCATAGAGATTTTCTAATGGAACAAATTTTTGCTTTTCTGTTTGGTATGTTGGTTTATTATTTCATTGAGGTTAACTGAAACAAGATACACATTCTATAATCTAATATATTATCACTAAAATAGACTTACAATCTAAATAAATGGCTAAATAGACCTTGACATGATGTATGGATGGTTTGTTTAGTAAATTAAGGATGATTTTTTTGAGTAAGTCTTCAATTTTTTGGGTTCAAATCTCTTAATCCAATGTGTATAAGTGAATAGTTTCTTAGGTTACTAAACCTGGTTGACACCTCTAGTTTTGCTCAAGCTGCCATATGCTAAAGAAAATAGTATCTACTATCTTGCAGCATATCAACTAAATATGTTAATATAAAGTATACCTAAATTTAAATGAATGTTAATCGAGTTAAAATTTAGTGTACAAATTGGTCATAGCTTTCAACTACCACGTCTCAAATCCTTGGAATAAATTAACAGATTATGAGATGCAAAAGAGCCATTCCCTGTTTTGTAACCTAAAGTATTATGCATCGAAGAGTTAAATTTTAATGAGTGCATGAGATTAACTAACTTTGACATAGTTGACACAAGTAATAAACCATGGATTTGGTGGGGGATTACACCCTTGACATTGAAAAAAAGATCATTCGTCCAATGGGACAAATTTTCCTTCTTTTGCATTTGGTATGTTGGCTTTCTTACATCATTGATATTAACCATACCCAAAGGCATTTTTAATAATTTATGCACACAAAATAGAAATAAAACAAAGATGCACTCTCAGCAATAGATAAATAAATATGTAAATAAAGATGTATGATTATTGTACACAAAATAATGCTGACATTGTGGTTGCATAAAATTTAGGATGTCCTCTTGGTAACTACTGACTAGAGCTACAATCTAGCTTGTGCCACCACATGTCTTGTCCTGATGCTTCCTCATGACTAACATGACAAACGCAAAAAGGAGAAATTTGTCTGCAATAGCCTAATTAATTAAGTGCTTCAGCATGATTCGACTCTATCTATCAGAATTCTACATAATGGAAACCTAGGTATAAGGCATTCGTTCACTGCTACTTCAATCTGGTTATAAACTAACAGTAAAAGTCAATGCCATAGACAAAATAGATAAACAGGATGAGATTGTTGCATTTGGCATGTACAACAGGATCAAAATTGACAGACAACGAACAACTCACATTTTTCAAAGGATACGTATGTTGATTCCTTGGTCCTATAGCAGATAGAGAGACCAAGATCCTAAAAGGTTACAAATTCAAAATTCTTTTATCTTCATATGGTGTAAAAATATTCTAACATATGATAGAAAATATAAATAAACAAAATTAAACTTATATGAATTAATATGGGCTTTTAGAATATTGAAATTGATGTGGGGATCTATAATATTGTCAAAGATGGTTTATGTGTATTGGAATATCAGAATCCAAAATTCTAGAGAATGAAAATCTTCTGCAAAAGATATGGAACCAAGCCACATTTAGAGATTTCTTGGAGGCAAAAAAGATTTAAAAAAAAAAAGGGGGAACATCTACAGAATTAGATATGGCAACTTCAAACTTCAGTAGAACACTACTAGAACTAGATATGGCAACTTCAAACTTTAGTAGCTAGCGCACCTGGAATATTGGATTGGCATCAAATCTAGACCATGATATGCAGTGAGTAAAGTTTCAAGAAACTCAGACAAGGTAGGATCATTCTGGTCTTCTCTATCTTTCTTTACAAAACACTTCATAACACACAATACTTAGGTTATTTAGGTGATTCCTAGACAGCCATAGAAATAATGGAAGCAAACCAAGACAATTGGAACAGAGAACATAATCACAGATGAAAATTTTAACAGTAGTATCTGAAACATGATAAGTTAGTAAGAAAGAACACATTCTCTATGCATAGTTTAACTCCAATTAAGGGCAGAGCTCATTAGGCATCCAACGTCCCATGTAGACCACCCACAATCCACAGTTATGTCTTGCTTTGCTCATACCAAAAAGGCAACATCATAATGGTCTTCTCTATTTGACAATAGCTAGGAGAAGCAGCCAATTGAAATAACATGAAAAACTTAATTATAGTTCCTTAAAATTCCATACAAAATCCATGTTCACTTTCTTGCTGAAGCTCAGCTAAAAATTTTCTTTTAACCATTTGAATAATTTCAAATTACTATTTCAAATATCATAAATGATCCAAAATATCATAGGAGATGAAGTGGTGCAGTTTTTATTAACTTATTATGTTTCTTGATCTTTAGCATGCATTAAAAAAGAAGATTCCAAAGGAAGTGAAATTCTTTTAGGAAACTGCCCACAGTCCAAACCATTTAAACCATCCAAAAATGTTTTCTTGCCACTCTACAACTATTGATACTTGTACAGAAGCTATTCCAATATAATCAGATCCAAGGCTTCTTATATGAAAACCAATGCCATGCTCATTTTCCATGCAGACAAATAGAGAGAATCAATGTGTTGTCAGGTTAGGAAAATCACATAGAAGTATGCAAAGGAATTTGAAGATTTCTCCATTATAATTTAGTATGAGGTCTGAACCATGAGGTCATCTGCAAAGACTGCAATAAGAACTGACTATAGAGGTTAAGATTATGAAAAGGAAAGAAATACTTCTATTTTATGAATGCAAAATTTAAGTAACAGATAAGAAAAGAGCTATAAACCAACACAGAAAATATGAACATCCAAGTAATGTCACGTCAGTCCACCCAGCTGACCTCTATCACAGGGATGAAGCAGCAGCTAAAACTGAAATATTCATACGGTGAGATGGCCATTACCAATTTGAACCAATTGTTTGACATTTGAAATGCTGAAAGTGTCCAGATATTTGGTTTGGCAAATGTGAAAAATCATAATCAACAGTGAGTTGGTTTCCCAAATAAGAAACTGGGAGAAGAACAAGGAAGGATCCCAATTATACCAGGTAAGGTAAACATTCTCAAGCTGCATAAAGGGTGAAAATAAAACACCTGCAACAAAATTTTCAAAAACAACATTCCCTCTACTCTGAGTGTGAATAAGAGGAAACAGATATCGAAATTGATACCGACCGAAGTTAAAAGGCCGAAAGAATTATCTTTTTCTATTTCTTAGGAGCGCACTTCAAAGTTCTCACACCTCAACAGCTCTACTAAAATGTCGAAATCCCAAAGCTTTCGGGACTCGGGAGAGAGAAGGACACAAGAGGGAGGGGAAACAGCGGGGAGCCGTGTAGACAAGTAAACCTTTTTGAAACGAAATGATGAGAGCTTTACTGAAAGTAACCGACATTTTCTGAATCGGCGATGATCACCTTCAGTGATTCCGCCGGGGATAACGGCCGAGGGAAGTTTGCGGATCCTGAGAAGGAAATGCGCAGCACCCGACCCGAATTTAGAAATTTAGAATACCCAAATGAGCTCTTCTACTCCTTTTTAAGATACAATTAAGCTCCTCTACTTCTAATCAATCTAATAAAGTCCTTCATATTTTATCGAAAATCTTACGTTATTTACAGCGTCTCGTAATATTATAAATTTAAAATATAATATATTATTGTTACGTATAATTAGTCTTTTTTATTAAAAACTTATTCTTAATATTATATATATTTATTTAATATAATATTATATTTATGTAATATTA